GAACTCCGCTTCGCGTCGTTCGTGTCAACGGCAGTCGCGTGCGAGAAAGAATCAATTTCCCCACTTGTTAGGAAAATTACTATTACAGTTTCAAAAGTTATTTGATGAACATTTATAAATAAATGATTTATTTCGCGCACATTGCCGTGGTAGCGTAGTAAAAAAAAAGATTCACTTCTTGTATATTTTTATTAATGCTCGAACATGATCATTTTTTGACGTTAGTAGAACAAATATTATCCGGATATTCGCGAAATAGCTGTATGTCAATAGATATAACCAGTCATATTGTTCCATTCGCGAGCTAACCAAATAATTTGCAAACATTTTGAAAATATAATGGTTCCTCAGACTATCAACTAATTGTGTTGGTTAATTCGCATTTCATTTAGTTAATTCGATAACCAACTAACTTTGCATATTACCTGTAACATATACACAACGATGTCTTTCACTAGAACTTGCTGCATATTTCACCGCTTGCTCACTCATTAGAATGATTGGAATTGGAACAATGAACTCTTCAAAATTCAATTAAAACTCGAGACACAATCGCATCTCAAACCACCATTAGGATCCACATATCTTTGCACTACTGCCTCAAGGCTTAGAGGATTTCCTTTTATGAAGTAATTTCATTTGAAGGTGGGGTACCTGCAAGTAATTGAATGCCATTTAACTGTAGTTGATTGCTCATCGATTGAGTAAACAGGTAAGATAGTTAGGTAGGTACCAGGAAGACATGGTGATGATTAAAATAACATTTCACAGGTACCTGTGTACCAATGATATTCTGATTGAGTATTTCACCTTAATCTGAGATATATTTTCTTCTAATTTGGACACAAAAAATATCAACTTCGAAAATGAAGAATGAGAAAAATGGATAAACACGAATAGACGATTCTATCAATTCTGTCGAATCTCGAAAATCCCTAGAGCTTGCGCACTATGGAGACTCTCTCTCTTTACTTTGCGCTAGAGTGACTATATCAATGAAGTGGCGACAATTCATGTAAAATGGCTGTCGTTTCCATGTGTCACTTGTCACAAGTTGTCATTAACTAACGTCATATCAAAATGTTAATTTGATACAAATATTATTGTGATATTCGTGATTATTACTATTATCATATACAATCAAAATTTTCCTGTTTCTGCATTTTCTGTATTCGTTGTATTTTTCGTGGCCTGTGTTTTGTCGAGAATGTGAGATGTCATCATCCAATAATATCCATAGTCCATTGTGTATAGTATCCCAGAATTGTTGAACGATGCGTCAAATATCTCAATTTTGAACCACCTTGTTTTCATTTCGATTAAATATCAATGGGGGACTTCGTTCCAAGTTGCCAACTTCAAGAATGTACCAATTATGTCTACCCCTGAGGAATGTGAATTTCCGAATGATTCTTATATCCAATGACTTCCTTACGCCCTGAAGACGTTCCACGATGTTTTTTGAACATTATAGGGATTCCCTTTCGTGCGCTGCAATCGATAAAAAAAAAAGTGCAATCTTGAGGCATCCGGAATCACTAGAAAACCACTCTGTCCTGGAATTACCGCGTTGGCTGGAATGTAGGAGACTGAAGAAAGTTGGATCCAAAGTAGAACTGATTGCAAGGTAGATTACTATCATACTATTGGACTTCTCATCTCATCAATAAATTCATTTTCAACCTATCTGCTTGCCTTCTGATTTGAATCAAGTGGTCCCATTTTTATTTGGAAAGCATATAATATTATTATTGGTTATTTGAAGATATTCATTTTTCAATTTTCAGAATACAAAATTGTATCAAAGCTGGGAATGGAGACAAAATTTTTCTTCAGGATATTTCAGATACTGTTATCACAGTGGAACCCTTTAGAAAAGGTCATCAGTTTGTTGATGGTGACCACATAAGTTGTGTTGAAGATAGTCTACAAGACAGTTCTTATGTGTGCAGATGCAAGTGTCTCTCATCATTTCAAAAAACCTTACAGTATGAAGTGAAAGTGATTTTGAATAATACATCTGGGGCTGTAATAAATGGATTGTGTGAATGTAAACAATCAGCATTAGGTAAATCCAGCCATGTGACAGCTTTCTTGCTTTTTATCTGGCAATATGTTGAGAAGTTTGGATATGTGCAAAAATCTCCAACAAGTCAGCCACGTCAGTGGGGCTTAGGAACCATGAAACGGAATCCAGCCACAGTAAAATCCACTACATATAAAATAAAGAGATTCAAACCCCTGGATAGGGCCCAGTATGATCCAAGACCCACTGGTTATACCAAAGAATTTGATGTCAATAGCTTTGTTACTGATTTGCAGAGAGTTGGGAACAATTCAATGTTCCAATCAATATCTCATCCAGAATATATGGATTTTTATGGCACCCCGTTTTATTTATCATTCGACATGGCCTCAATGTCTGATTTCGATGTAACTTAGTTCTTTTTCTACTTGACATTATTTGAATAGAATGATTATTATTGCTGATAGCAATTCGAATACCATTTTGTATTGGAAACTGAAATGTGAATACATTCAGCCTATTAATTTACACGGGAATCAATTTCAAGTCCATTAACAAAAAATAATATTTATTAAGTCTAAAGATTTTTCAATTTGAAATAGCAATTCAAAACATTTATGAAATTCGAAATATGATAAAAACAGAGTCGTTCACAAGTGGAATGAGAGATCGATTCCGGTCTCAAAATCTAAGTGGAAATGTTGTTTCGATTTGAAATTAGAATAGAAATGAATTCAGTTCACATTTTCGAGAATGTCATTGAAATAAATACCTTTTGGGTGTATGATAAATTGACATTCATCATACAGGGCGTGGAAAGAAATTCTAAATTGTGACTCTATCACGAATCTGCGATTAGAGGTCTATAAAAATCACAAGTTCCCATCGTTCAAGTTTGAACCCCCTGATTGGGTATGAAAGTGTTGAAAAGGAATATTCTCAGATAAATTATGAACATACAAAAATGGATATATATTTATATAAAGCAACATTAAGAATTCGCATTCTCTATGTGATGAGAATATTCACTCCAATATTCAGAATGATGTGTGCATATACATATTTTTGTCTGAAGGAGAATGCAAATTCTCAATTTCAGAAGTTTTTATATTTTATTCTCAAACTCTTATCGTGTGTGTTCAATAGATGTAATTCAATGTTCGTCGTGGCATATAGCCAGGAAAGTAGTTGTTTTCTATTGAATCAACTGAAAAAGAGTAAATATTCTCATCACATAGAGAATGCGAATTCTCAATGTTGCTTAATATAAATATATATCCATTTTTGTATGTTCATAATTTATCTGAGAATATTCCTTTTCAACGAAATGAATACCATTTGAATTGTTATAGCGATAGCAATGTCCAATAATAATGTAAAACTGCCGTCTACTGTCTATTCAGAAAGCAACTCCAATATTATATTTCACATGTCTCTTGAAGGTGTGTTACGTCAAATGAGTTCATATGCAAATCACAATTTGAATTCCACTTGATTCCTATAGGACTTCGATTTGCATTGTATCTGAGATATACTCGTTTTTCACATGACATGAGAATTCAAGTAACAAAATAATTCAAGTTACATGAAAAACCACTGGTGCCATCTCTTGGACAGAGGAACAAGTTTTTTCTCAATAGCGACGCAAGATGGCGCTATTGTTTCTCCATTCCACATTGATTTTGATGTAACTAGCTTTTATATTCCAAGTTCATTTCTCTGCTATATGAATAGCTCGTAGAATAAATATGCAGAAAGAATTAAATGCAATTAAAATATGACAAATCAATTCAAATTTGCATTCTCATTTCACTTTGATTTCAATTTCACTACAATTTCCATTTAACATTGATTCCGAATCTACTTTCATTTTTTTGCTACTTCAATATTCTTTGTATATAAATTCCGCAACTCATCACATTCAATTGAAATCAGAATTTCATTCAAATGGGACTTTAATTTTTATGTATCCTCGATGTCCTCGACCGCAAAGTGTAATGGAAACGCAAGTGCCATTTGAATAGAGAAGCATTCCAATGCGACTTGATTTTCATTTCACATCGATGTCCACGACTGCAAAGTAAAATGAAAATGCAAGTGAAATGAGAATTGGAAACCAAATCCATCCGACTTGAGTTTTTATGTTACATCGATGTCCTCGAAAGCAAAGTGTAATGGAAACGCAAGTGGCATTAGAATAGAAAAGCATTCTGATGCGAGTTGGTTTTCATTTCACTTCGATGTCTACGACTGCAAAGTGAAATGGAAATGCAAGAGGATTAAGAATTGAAAACGATTTCCATTCGACTTGAATTTTTATGTTATATCGATGTACGCGACAGCAAAGTATAATGGAAACGAAAGTGGCATTAGAATAGAGAAGCATTCTGATGCGAGTTGATTTTTATTTTACTCTGATGTCAACGACTGCAAATTGAAGTGGAAAAACAAGTGGAATAAGAATTGAAAACCATTTCCGTTTTACTTGAATTTTTATGTTTCATCGATTTCCGTGGCAGCAAAGTGTAATGAATACGCAATTAGGAACTATCTTTCTTATGCTAATTGTTATATTTTTGACAAAGTTACATGATATGGTAAGTAAATGAACCACGACCCATTTGCCCCGACTATATGAGCTAACCGTTCGCACAGTGTAACCTGGAATTTCTGAATTTCTCAAGTATAAGATAAGTATAAGATATACTCAGCTAGTGGACGTGGCAACGTCATGTTACCTGGTTAAGTGAATAGTAAAGCGTTTATGAGAAATTGAAAATAGTGAATTCAAATGGTGCTTCAAGAACATATGCTGATAAGGTTAGTAATCGATTCGGTGTTAAAATTCAAAAAACAATTCACTCCACAGTGAAAAATATCACAAATCCATAACCTAAACACAAACAAACTCGCCCGTTAAGTCAAACGTTGTTGCCAAGTCATAAAATTAGTACACATATTTACTTCCAAAAAGATGTCTACCAAGATTACCAGATCACAAACTCGTAATCATCAGATTACCAATAAAAACTCAAAAAGTAGATCAACAATTGAAAATCCAAATAGTGACCATAATGAAGATGAAAAGTTCAGAACACTATCGGAAGAAATAGAAAATTTGAAGAAAGCACTTGAGGAGAAAGAGATTGAGGGGGAGTATATGATCAGCCTGTTGAAACAAGAAATAAGTAACTTGAAGACAGATAACCAGGGGAAGGACAAACATATTATTCAACTCAAAAGACGAAGCCAGGATTTCGAGGAAGATGTGTTTGAGACTGAAAAAAGTTTTTCAATAGAGTCTCAACGACAACGTCGAACAATACTGGAATTGAATGAGGAAATTGCAAAACCTACAGATGAGATCATACTTTTACAAGAAAAAAATGACGAAGCTGTAGTAAAGCTCAGAGAAAGCGAAAAAAATATAGACGAATGGAAAGCTATGAGAAAAATCATGTTAAAGTCAATTGAAACTCTTACCCAAGAAAACAACTCATACATTGATCAACTGAAGTCAATGAGGAATGTGAAGCAACTTTCACAAGAAGAACCAAAAAATCAAGCAAATAACAATGAAACAAAACAAGCAGTCGAACAGAAGAAAATAATTAGGAATCAAATGGTACATTCAAGGAAACCTCACGAAAAAGTCAAAACCAAGATCCTAGTTGTCGCGGGATATCAAGGTAGGGATATTGCAAAAAACTTGTATAATATATTGAGTGATACGTGTTCAGTTCAAGCTATATTGAAACCAAATGCAAATGACGATGTATTAATCGAAACTGCTTTGAATAACAGCAGAAACTTCAGTGATAGTGACGTGGTTATCCTCTGGCCTAATAAATGTGATAAAAATATCATTGAAAAATTCGTAATGAAACTCAAGCATACCCAACCCCTCATAATCACAGAAGCCTACCGCTACGATTACACATATGAAAACGAAAATATTTATTATAGGAACCTGGACTTGTTCCAAAAAGTATATAAACTGGGCTTGAACAAATGTCCTATCATTGAGTGCAACAATATCATCAATAGAAGTTGTTATAAATTAGATAGGGTTAGCCTGAATTTCAAAGGAAAATTGTTTTTGAGTAAGAAAATAGCAAAATATATACGAATTCACTATTGTGATAGTCTTCAAGTAAGTAATAATATAATATCCTCCCTCATGGAAACTGATAGAACTACATACACTATTACGGAAAATATTAATGACAACGAACAGAACCATTTTTTATATCCTCGATTGTCCCAGGTTGCTCCGACCGATACTTACTAGATAAAGATGTAGCTGGTGAAAATTCATCTACTGTATCGCATGACGCCCAGAATAACTCTGATATTAAAATTCTTAATCTTAATGTACAGTGCCTGTCAAACAAAGTGAACCTAATTGAGCAGCATGTGATTGACATCAATCCAGATTTTCTCTGCTTTAGTGAACACTGGGCGACTAAAAAACAAATTATTCATATAACAGGGTATCAAAAAATCAGTAAATATAACAGACTTTCTCATAAGCATGGAGGAACTATTATATTTGCGAAAGATGGCATCTTCGGAAAATGCAGGAACTTGAAAGATCTTTGTGATCTTTCAATCGAGTTGTCATTTGAATGCTCTGCTATTTCATTTGAAAGAAATACTGCTATCATTATGTTTATCGATCACCAAACAGTAACATTAATGTGTTCCTTGTTCAATTGTCCCGTTTATTAGCCGGAGTAACTGAATCATATGAGAATGTGTTTATATGTGGAGATTTCAATATTGACAGTTTAACTAGACATATTAATACAATTATACTGTATGACATTATTGAATCATACGGACTAATATCTCTATTCGATGAGCCAACTAGAATTGGGCATCTAAGTAATCGTGAAACTAGCAGTAGCATAGACTATGTATTGACTAACATGAGTAGAAAAAGTTTAGTCCTCGAAAACTTTGATTATGGCCTATCTGATCATCATTCACAAACCGTTGTTTGGAAAAGTAATATGAAAAATATCAATTCAAATGTCGAAAAATCAGAAATATACTATGAATCTCGAAACATTAGCGATCTCTCATTGAGTGAATTCAAAAAGCTCCTAACAGGTGACATGGAATTTTTGAAAATCTTCACCTACACCACCTTCACAGACATAAACGAAGCTTTTGGTATTTTCTGGGAACATTTCCATTGGTGCTTTGAGGCGGCCTCTCCTAAATCCTCACGAAAAAAAAAACTCTCAAAAAAACAATGACAGAATTATCCTCTCTAACCAACTCAAGCAAAAAATGGACGGTCTCAAATATCTGAATTATTCAAAAAAAAATGATAGCACAGGAAATTCCGATAATATATACAAGATAGCCAAGAAGAGTATCGAAAATGAAATACGACAGGAAAAAGTTGATCACTTCATGGAAAAAGTTAATGACTCAAGTAATAAAAGCAGAGCTCTCTGGAATATTATAAAACAGCCATCCAAAGTTCCTAAAGAAAATTGTATAGTACTGAGTCATGATCAGAATATAATCAAAGATAAAGTAGAAATTGCGTAAAACATTTGGTGAATATTTTTTTTTGCAACTGCATACCTCATTGGTCCCAGCACTGGGACCAAACGCCCCATAAGTCGAAACTTGTGCGGGGTTAGGAATACATACAAACACAAACATCCATGGCCTAACTAGGATTCGAACCTATGTCTCGGGTGGGAGTCCCCATACGAACTCAGCGCCTTCACGCTCTCGACCACCGAGCCGCCTCAACAATAATAGACAACAAAATCAAAACACATTTCGTGAATGGTTCGGGCAGTTGTACAACGATACCGATTGTCAACGCAACAATGTTCTTTGAACCAGTTACTGCTGATGATGTGAAAAAAGTAATAGGCTCATTAGCCAATAGAAAAAGTACAGGACACGATGAGGTGTCAACCAAAATTATCAAAGAATGTGCAGAAATTCTATCTGACGTTCTAGCACACATCATGAATCTATGTTTTTCTATTGGCGAATATCCAGATCTTTTGAAAATTGCTGTACTGGTCCCAATACTGAAGAGCGGTGATAATAAAAATATTGAAAATTATCGTCCTATTTCACTTATTAGTGTCTTCTCGAAAATTCTTGAAAAGCTCATATGTCTTAGAATAAATGACTATCTGGAATCATTTGATCTGATGACAAAGTGACAACATGGATTCAGAAAAAAATCACTCCATAGAAACTGCAACTCTCGATTGTACCCAACATATACATGATTTGCTCGATGACAAAAATATTGTAGTAGACATTTTCTTCGACTTAAGTACCCATATAACACACGGACATCCTATGGATGTCCGATGGATATCCAACCAGAATATTCTGGATATCCGTTGGACATCCAAATCTTATCCAAAGGATATCGTATGGATGTCCAATGGATGTACTTTGGCCACCGTTTTGTATGTCCATAGGATATCCATTATGTATATCCATAAGATATCCATCATGTATGTCCATAAGATATCCATAATGTATGTCCATAGAATATCCATCATGTATGTCCATAGAATATCCATCATGTATGTCAATAGGATATCCATCATGTATGTCCATAGGATATCCTTCATGGATGTCCATTGGATGTCCTTCATGTATGTTCAATGGTTGTGTTTCAGGGATGTCCAGTGGATATCTCTTATGGATGTCCAGTGGATAATATGTTTTATTCAGGTTAAAATGTTCACTGACATTCATCAAATCTGATTGATATTCGTTTAAAATGAAAATAATTGGGTATAGATAGGGAATTAATTAAATACGATGAATAACTGAGTGGAATATAATGATTCAAAATGAAATATGAATTCTCGCAAACAAAAACAACTATATTCCTACTACTGAATTCCTCTCTGGTAGCAATAGATGATATTCATGGCAAAAACAGGATACTATTATTATCATTAGCAACATCTTCTGAAGCACCCAGCTTCTTTAAAGATGATATGTATCTTTTTTTTGCTCTCCTCAACCAAGCTTTGATTGCGTCTTCGGAAGATTTTCTTTTCGCCGATAATCCGTTGACTTGAGCTGCTTCTGAAATGGTAAAAAATATTTATAAAAGTAATATAAATATTAACTTCTGATTGATTAATGTCCAGAAATATTCGATACCTAGCAGAAGTTCAGCTGATTAAAATTTTTGGAAAATCTTCTTTTTCTTGGCTCCTAGCCAGCTAGATTGTGAAGCAAAACCATTGGTCAAAATTGAAGAAAGACAGCGTTTCATGAAATCATAAGTGGTAGCACCTCCAATCTTCGAAATTTCTGATACCTGAAAAGAAATGTGGATTCAAATTCCAACAGAATAACACTAAGTGAGTATTTACAGCAGCTTTGAAATGTTCCTCTTTGGACAGGTATTCTTCCAACAGCCCCAAAGTTTCTTCAGAGTTGACAGGGAAGTGTTGAAATGCCAAAAAAATTGATTGAACATCACTATTTCTCAAATCAGTAATATTACCAATACTAGCATTTTGTTTCATTTTCTTGACATCTTCGAGTATTTCATTAACTATGTGTCTAGTCAACACCTGTTGCTTCAATAAATTTTTCAGGGTGGCACCTGGAATTTATTCAGTGAGAATGATATTTATGATCACAAACAATTTTAGTTGGAATATTTTCAAAAATTATCTATAATATTTGAAAGACGTTTGAATTGATTCTGCTTTGAAAATCATGCATTCATATTTACCCATTTCATGGTCAGCACAGCAACAACATGAAGAGTTTACATCTGCAAAGAGAAGTTTTCAATGTTTTGATGCGAAATTCATTTTACAAATCACACAGACAATATTTAGAAGCAGTAAACTGAAAGCTCAAAATTGTTGAAATCATCGAAAACAAATACACAATCTACTATGACTATGAAATTAAGTTCCGAAATTAACTTGGTTCCATATTCATTTGCAAATCAGTGTGTTTTCATATAGGCAATATAGGTATGAGTTGTGAAGTGTAAAGTGATTACACTATTGATCATACCCGTTGTTTTTTTTGAGGAAGAGCTACTCGGTTCAATGTTGGTGAACAGTTCCTGTGAGGGCATCATAGACTCATTATGGATATTAGTCTCATCCGAGTCAGTCTCCTCTACATCAGTAGTAATATTCGCATTTTTTTTCATTTTGGGAGGTAATGGCAACTTTGATAAAAAGTGATCATCATCTTCCTCGGAGGAGGATGTAATAGTTCTCTTCTTCTTCAGCTTCCTTGACTGTATGTCACTGTCTGAGTTGAGATCACTGTAAGTTTCAGCTTTTCTGGCTTCATTTCTAGCAGTCAAATAGTTATCTGAAAATTTGAAACATTCCTATCAATTCGAGATTCTCATGGATGATTCAGCTTACCATAAGTTCCGTTCCTGAATATGCAAATGTCATGGAGAGGCCAACAGTAGGGGATAAATGAGAGGGCTGTAACGGCACCCCCCACCCTAGGCACCCCCCACCCAACCCCCTATGAGAGTTCTGTAACGGCACCCCCCACCCTAGGCACCCCCCACCCAACCCCCTATGAGAGTTCTGTAACGGCACCCCCCACCCAACCCCCTATGAGAGTTCTGTGACGGCACCCCCCACGAACGCCCCAAATCCTATGAGAGTTCTGTGACGCTACCTCCCAGACCTCTACCTGCTATGAGAGTTCTGTAACGACACCCCCCAGACCTCTACCTGCTATGAGAGTTCTGTAACGACACCCCCCAGACCTCCACTTGCTATGAGAGTTTTGTAACGCACCCCCCATTTCGAATAAATATAGTTGTAACAACAAATTCAATTTTTCCATCAGTTATACATTGAAACTAGTCATATCGACTTCAAACGTACTGAGAATGTGTATCGAAGATTTTTCTATCCCAAGATCTTGGTATAATTCATTCGATAAGCGGCTACTGTCATACAAAAATTGGACCGGAAATCAACAACCTATAGAACTGGCTAAAGCAGGATTTTATTTCAAAGGAAAGGATGATGTTGTGGAATGTTTTCAATGTGGGGTTGAAATACACATGTGGAATCATGGAGATATTCCTATTGAGGACCACTTGAAGTATTCAAAGATTTGTCCGTATGCTAATCTAATAAAGGATATTTTATACAAGTCAGAAGATGATGCAAACCTTTCGAAGAATGAAGAACCAAAAGATTGCTGTGTGGGTTCAGTGCATTTCAAAGTAAATTTATTACATGTTTTGTGCACACTATTATCTATGAATATTTTGCTAGATATCTTCAATAAAATCTATTGAAATTTATTTGAGTATTATTAAAGATTATTCTAACAACTGGATATGGAACACCTTACCAGTACTTACGAAAATATATTTTATAACTCATTATGAAAAAGAAAATCATATCAATACATCTCACCGACAGAGACTACAGAGATTTAAGTATAAGAGACGATACAGAACGTATGTTGGGTTATCAAGGCGACATGGACCGTTCCTAGTTTACAATTCTTCGAGTGCGCATAGACTATATTGTATAGAACGAAAGTGTCGACTTGATTCAAGGTCCTGAATCCAAAACATATTTCCTAGATTAATTCTTTCGCGACTAATAGTGTAATGATAATTAAAATAAGGATAATATTAATAATGATAATAATTATAATAATAATAATAATAACGAGATTACGAAGCAAATATCAATAATTATAACAAATAAGTAACGCTTAACAAATAACGCTACTGGTCGATGTAAAGAAATATGACTGGCAATATGTTTTGCATCATTTGAATTCTAATAAATACCCAAGACATTATACAGAAGAGTCTTCTCGAGCTAGGCTAATTGAAATGTAAATTCAATGACCTGGTCCGCAGATCGCCGCAGGCTCATAATTTCCAAACGACCATCAGTAAATTGGACAGACTATTTAACTGAATTTTCATGAAGAATAAAAAATAAGTAATATATAGCTAATGTGTGATGCTCTCACATTTATTATCTTTTGACTCACAAAGTTTTTCAAATAGGTATTTTTTGAATGGAATAAAAATAGTAGTGGTAATGAATAAATATTTATTTAAGCAACTTAACCAAACTTTCTATGTTTTTGATATCCACGTCCACCCGACCCATATCCTCAACCAGGAGGCTCACAAAATTCTTGAAGTTGGCTATCCGTTTTGACATTTTCATACGCTGACCCTTCAGGATAGTCAGCCTACCTGTAGCATTTGTGAGTACTCCCTTTCGCCAGTCCGCTGCATCCCGTTCCATTTCCTCCTTCTGGTTTGCGACGCAACCCCGGAGAATCATATCCATATCAGTATCCAGATCTCCATGGACGTCGCTGGGTCTTGCAACCCTCTTGGTGTTGCTTCTGGTGGAAATGGGCTGGGTGACAGCTGGCTGGGTGGCGTTGGGTCTGGTGGTTGCCACAGCTGGTTGGGTTGCCATGGATATGACAGCTGGCTGGGTGGTCGTGGTGTAGTAAGCCGGTTGGGTGGTCGTGGTGTAGTAAGCTGGTTGGGTGGTCGCGGTGAACATGGCAGATTGGCTGGTTGTGGTGAACTGTGCAGGAGTGGCCGGGGTCGTCGTTGTCCTTGGCTGCGAGGAAGCTTCTTGTATTACGCTATCATCCAATATGTGGATGATCTCGCTAATACTCCTATCACAGTTCATCTCAGCCATCTCTTCAAGCGACATGGATTCAAAACTACTCATGATGATACAGTGATAATATTTCAAGCGGTGTTGAAACGAAGTGAAGATGTGAACGCAAAATCGTCTTTAAATATGATTTCTGTGGTAGAGTGGTAGTGGAACTTGTCTTGACCGTACAAAGCGGTTTTTAGCCATTCTCTTTTCAAGGGCAATGTGTTACGATTTCTCAAACTGATCATTATTACCGGAAATTATTCAAATTTCTGTGAAATATTTCGACTTCTAAATGGTGGTTAGTATGTATTAATCAATTACTATCCATTATTTGATCGAATTGAAATTGTCGCTTCAGTATTTGTGATACATTGCAATCAAGAACGATTTTATCAATAATGAAAACTTTATTAAGGTGTAGTATATCTATTTTTTCTTGAATAGAACATATTTGTCAGTACAGTACCTATATAAACCACAATTTTTGGAATTCGAAAAATCTGTTTAATTATTTTATATTGATTCATCTACCTAATTGTGAAAACATGAATGCTACAACCAGAATGAATATTAATTTCTGATCAAATCTCTATTTGAAATTATCGAAATAGGCCCCCCATTCGTGATAATATCAGTGATATATGTTGGGTGAACTGCAATACGTTCAAAGGATTACGAGACACTCAAATAGTATATTGTTTAACGAGCACGGAATGATAGTCATTTTCCACGAGATTAATGCAAAATCATAAAAGTAGGGAATTATCATTTCGTACAAGTTATACACTATAGTTTTTCTACGGCTGTAACATATAACAGCGAAATTTGTTATTTTTTCGGATTGTTACAATCTGATTTTCTCGTAATGCTAATCTATTAAATAGAGGTAGCTTGACATTTCATGAAAGATGAGATTTTGTGAAATGATAACACAACGAAGTACCTCATTGATTTATCGAACACACTGAAATAGGAGAAATTTTCTCGTTGGAAAAAATGTTCTTATCATGATTTTAGATCAATTTGTTTATTTCCAATTCCGTTACTCATAATCATTATTATAGGTTGAGAGCTTATTTGTAATTAAAAATTCATTGTTTTCTCTTTGAAAGGGATACTTTGACACTGGTTGGTTTCCGCAACTCTACAATGGGATACATGAAAATATGTCATTTGTTCATAGTGATACAAATTCTTTGAACATGAAAATTCATTCTTTTCGAAAAGCATACTTTGACATTGGTTGGTGTTTCCGCAACTATACAGATACAAGAAGATACTTAAAAATATCTTATTAGTTCATTACCATGAACATATAATTGATTCTGCTAGATTATAATCGGTATCTGGTAAATACTAGATAGGAAATGTGAATGTGTTGAAAATAATAACCTCGACTGGATCATTGAAAACTCGTCTCGTACCAGCTGGTGAAACAAAAAACACAATTTGATGACTTGTTCTAAGAAGGTGTGTGTAGGTCGCGATTCCCTGTGAGAAAAAAACGTCCTCGAATCCACCTCGACTGAAACATGTCTTGTATCCGGTATAATAAAAACTGGCTACTCGTTTGGAAAGGTCTTTTTGAGAAGTGGTTTTAATGTGATTGCAAAACGAATAAACATTGAAATGATGACCTCAACTAGATCATTAAAAACTCGTACCAGCTGGTGAAAGGAAAAACATAATTTGATGACTTGTTATAAGAAGGTCGCGATCGAGAAAATAACAACCTTGAATTCAGCTCGACTGTAACGTGTCTTGTATCCGGTATTATAAAACTCGTTTGGGAAAGTCGTTTTGAGAAGTTGTTTCGAAGTGATTGTGAATCAAATCAACATTGAAAACGCGTCTCACCATTCGAGGCCAGGAAAATGAAATTATTCAAATTGGAACACCTGCCTTTCAAGTATGGATCAGTATAAACTAGTTTCGAGGAGTAGGTTCGA